TGGTTTTTCGAGACAGGGTTTCTGGCCTCCAACTCACAGAGATCCGCCTGCCTCTGCCTCCCGAGTGCTGGGATTAAAGGCATGCGCCACCACCGCCCGGCGGTTTTAACTTCTTTATTATTTCTTTTTTCAGGTCTACGGATCAATGGAGAGCTAATCTCTGCCTACCCACAGGTGGTGGTAGTCAGAGTTCCAACCCCATGGGTGCAGAGTGATAGTGATATTACTGTTTTGCGCCACCTAGAGAAAATGGGGTGCCGATTGATGAACCGACCTCAAGCTATCCTGAACTGTGTTAATAAATTCTGGACATTTCAAGAGTTAGCAGGCCATGGTGTACCTCTGCCAGATACTTTTTCTTATGGTGAGATCACAAATGAGAATGTATAATTGAGGGGGAGGGGGCCTAGAGAGATGACTCAACAGGTAGTCATCTTGTGAAGAGTGCTTGCTTCACAAACATGAGAATCTGAGTTCAGATCTCTGGCACTCACGTAAAAGATGGGTATAGCCATGTGTCCTATAACCACACTGCTGTGGATGGTGGACAGGAAGATCACTGGGTGTTGCTGGTTGTCAGCTCCACTTTCAGTGAGAGACCCTATCTTGGGGAATAAAGCACTTTCTAGTGCTAGATCAAGACACCTAGCATCCTTCTGACGTACACATACATTAATGCATGCGTCGTACACACACAGAGAAACATAGTAAAGTGTTTAGTATTCCATATTTAACTGGTAGAATAAATAACTGATGCTAACTATAACGTTTAAACAATTATATCTCTATTCCAATAAAACTTTCTTGTAAAATCAAACAGTAGGCCAGAAATTAGCCCACAGGTCTTGGGTTTGAGGTAAAAGACAGCTGTTCAGTATTTCTGTTTTATGTCTTTGTTATCATTTTCATACTCTTTAAGAAAATGACCTCATTAAAGAAGATGGGCAGTATGCTTTAAAGTAGCACTCAACTGTTCTCTGACAAAGGGTCATTTTAAGTCAGTTTGATGTGCATTAATACTAAAGTGAAATATAGTAATTTATACAGCCAATAAACTGAAAAAGTTTCCAATCCTTTTGGACTTGATCACCTGCCAATAACAAATGTGTCACAAGAGGCACATTTTGAGTAACACTGCTATAAATATTATGCTAATTTTCTGCCCTTCCATTTGGAAAAGAATGATATGAGAATGATATGCTTTTCTTTTTCTTTTTTTTTTTTTTTTTTGTTAATATTTTGTTTGTTCGAGGCTGTTGGCCTTGAACTTGCTGTGTAGATCAGGTATTCTTCAAATCCTCCAGCCTTTCCTTCTTTAGTGCTAGAATTACAGGATTGTGCCACCACACCCAGCTTTCTACAAAAATAATAGTTTTCTACAAAAGCATTTCTTCAAATAATGTTCAATAGAATACTTGGAAATTTAATGAGGTTTTAAAATGAATTCCTTATCTTACTATAAAGAACAGAACCCCATATGTGTGCGTTTATATAATTACTGCTTTTAGTATTTACATAGGACAAAATTAGTGTGAATCACTTAAAGGCTGATTTTCTAATGCTCTTGGGGTTTTAGTTTGGGAAGGAGAAAAGGGCTCACTAGCTAGTAAATTGTACCTTTAATGGTGAGGGATTAAAATTTTATAAGTGGATAATCTTAATTCAGTAAATTGCAAATTGTTCCTATTGTACTGGTGTCCCCAGGCCTTTTCCTGTCTTAGTTTTTTCTGTGATCGTACTGATTGTTTTTACACTTACAGACAGTTCCCCTCAGTTTGCTGCTCTGTCATTTTCTTCTGAGCAGTGGAAACAGTAAGACGCAAGTAAGAGTGGCCAGGCGTGGAATGAATGTGTCTTTAGTCCCAGCACTCAGGAGGCAGAGGCGGGCGGGTCTCTTTACATAGCGAGTTCCAGGACAGTCAGGGCTACATAGAGAAACCCAGTTTCGTATAACCAAAAAACAAAACAAAGCAAAAAAAAACTCCACAAAACAAAAAGCAAAACTATACTGGACCTAGTGGTACAGGCCAGTAATCCCAGCTACACAGGAGGTGGAGGCAGGGGAATCACATGTTAAAGCACAGCTTGGACTACAGAGTGAGTTCAGGTCCAGTTTGGCAACTTAGTGAAACTTTGTCTAGAGTAAGAAATGAAAAGAGGGCTGGAGATAGAGCTCAGTTGATCTTTGGGTGCTTAGCATAAATGAGACTGTGGGTTAAATCCTTGCTGCTGCAAACAGAAGCACTGACACTAGAACAGATGTGCTTATGGGATACAACAGAGGACTCAGACTCATTTAGTACAGCCGTCTGACTCTCACAGAAAGGATGGCCAAGAACGTGCACTGGAGAAAAGACAGACCATTGCCTGCTGGGAAATCTAGATAGCCACAAGTAGAAGAAACTAAATCTATCTCACCCTGCAGAAAAATCATTTCAGAAATGATCAGAATCTTAGTGTGAGACCTGAAACCATGTAACCACTAGAGGAAAACACTTTAAGATATAGGTGTAGATAATTAATTAATTAATATCTCTCTCTCTCTCTCTCTCTCTCTCTCTCTCTCTCTCTCTCTCTCACACACACACACACTCACTCACTCATACACACACACACACACACACACACACACACCCGTGTAGTTCTTAAATTTTTAAAATTATTTTATGTGTATGGGTGTTTTATCTGCATGTATGTCTGGGCACCAGGTGAGTGATGTTTGTGGAGACCAGAAATGGGTGTTGGATCCTCTGCAGCTGGAGTTTTGGACAGTTGAGAACTGTTGTGTGGGTGCTGGGAATTGAACTAGGTCATCATGAAGTGTAGCTAGGGCTTTTAACTACTGAGCCACCTTTCTATCCCCCAAAGGTGCTGTTTTCAATAGGTAGTCATTTATACGTAATTTCTTCAAGACAAACAGAAATTAGTCATCAGTCTTTTGCTTTCACCTCCCTTGTCCTGTGCTTTAAAATTGGTCCCAGCATACTTTTGCTATTAGTCTTAAATTTATTTTGTCTCAAACCAGGTGGCCATGAAAACTTTGCTAAAATGATTGACGAAGCAGAAGTGTTGGAGTTCCCAATGGTGGTGAAGAACACTCGGGGTCATAGAGGTGCGTAAAATTTGCTACATAGTTTTGAAATTGCTGTTGCAAATTAACAATTTAAGAGCAACCAACAAGTGTTTGAGACCACAAACGTGTAAAAGATTTCTACAAGTTCACTTTGGTGAGATGCAATTTCTGTTTAGAGGTTATGGTAGAGATAAAACATGCATGACTAGATCTCAAATTAATGTTTCATTTCAGCAATGCATAGTCTCTTAATTTTCTTAACACAAGCTCATTTGGCACTCTCCAAGGCACAGTGAAATTAAAAGCATTTTAAATCTTAAAATATATTTTTCTGTCCTGAGTGCAACTTTAGATTGTAAAAAAATGAAACTTAGTTAGCTGAACTTGGAGTCTTCAAGTTACATACCTGTATCATAAAACTGAGGTTAGGAATTTGTGCAGAGAGTTAACCATGGTCCTGGGTTATCAGCCAGACCTAACAAGAAAGACTGGCACAGCAATTAGGTTGCTTTGCACCTTGGTTCAACAAATCAGACAGCTGGCTAGTCTGTCCTTGTGAACTAGACTGCTTTTTCTAGGAATAGTTTATCTTAAAAACCATTAGCAAGGCACCTGGTCTAATCTAAAGCTACTTTGAAGCTAGTACCACTTAATTGTGTTCAAAAAACCTTTGACTTTATATCTTCCGAAGGACCTGGGTTCAATTCCCAGTATCCACATGCAGCTCACAACAATCGATTACTCCAGTTCCAGAGTATCTGACACCTTCACACAAACATACATGCAGGCAAAACTCCAGTGACCATAAAAAAAAAATTATTTTTAAAAAAAGACGTACCTCCTTTGGAATAAAAATAGAGCAAGGAACAGATTGGAGAATTCAGAAACATTTAAGTCTATGATACTGCTATGTTAGTGTATTGTAATCATAGAATGTTAATATGTAATAATATATGTGTATTTTAACTCAGAGGGAAAGGGTTTGCTAAAGAATGAGGTTAACATTGGCTAATCTTTGGAGGAATACAATGTAGCTCCTCTTTCTCATAAACCCAAAATGAAATAGTTAGCCACAAGAATTTGTTTGGGGAAATAATAGATGATTATTAAGTTTGACCCCATATATTTTCACATTGTCTTACAAATCATAATTAAATCACTTTAGTCAATACTTATAGCAAAGAATACTTTAAAAACACACAAGTATAATTGCTTCTAAAAGAGTATATGGAACCCAAGAATGTGTATTTATCACTATCCACAATTTCATGACTTGCATGTGTTGTATATTTTTATTCTTTTTAAATCCTAGGCAAAGCTGTTTTCTTGGCACGAGATAAACATCATTTAGCTGATCTAAGCCATCTTATTCGGCATGAAGCTCCATATCTGTTCCAGAAATACATTCAAGAGTCTCATGGAAGGGATGTGCGAGTCATTGTTGTGGGAGGCCGCGTTGTTGGCACCATGTTACGTTGTTCGACAGATGGAAGGATGCAAAGCAATTGTTCACTAGGTAAAGACAAATGCAGAGCCTTTCTGTTGGTATATAAAGTGAACATGCTTTCCACATGGAAATTGTAGCCCTACTGTCATTGTTGGTTTTCTCCTTATTGAATTAGATTTCACTGATTATGAATTTATTTTTTGTGATAACTTAAATTTTTCCATTTCTGTCAAGCTTTTCATGCATGTATATGTTGTATTTAGCATATTCCTCATACACAGCCCCTTCTACTTGCCTTGCCTCTCTCTTCTTCCATTGGTCCCCTTGTCACCTTAGGACCTCTGCAGGAGCAACAAGTGCTTTTAACTACTGAGCCGTCAAAGTGGGCCTTGTCACGTCATCCAGTGCTGGGATTAAAGGCATGTGATTGATCCCACACCTGGCTACCATTCCCCCTGTTAACTTGGATTTTAATAAGCTCTACAAGTTCTAGAAATTTTCTGTTGTTCGTTATAAAGTGTTTTTTGTTTGTTTGATTTGGTTTTTGGAGACAGGGTTTTTCTGTGTAACCCTGGCTGGCCTTTAACTCAGAGATCCATCTGCCTCTGCCTCCTAAATCCTGGGATTAAATGTGTGCACCACCACCACCTGGCTCTGTGTGTGTGTGTGTGTGTGTGTGTGTGTGTGTGTGTGTGTGTGTGTGTGTGTGTGTGTGTTTTATCTGTGCACCATGTGCCCACAGAGGCCTGAAAAGGGTATTGGATCCCCTAGAGATGCAGTTACAGTTGTGAGCTACTATGTGGGTGCTGGGAATCCAGGCTCTGTCAGAGCAATCAGTGTTCCCAACTGCTGAGTCATCTCTCCAGTGTCTCCTCCCCATTGCTCTCTTTGTTACCGCCTCTCCTCCATCTATTTATTATTCTTCTGGAAGATTTATTTTCTGATTTAATTCCCAGACTTTCCACTTTGTTTAATGATTCCGTTTTAAGTTTTTTGTCTGTGCTTTAAAAATATTCCCTATATTGGATTAATTCTGCTTTTCTTTTGGTTGTTTGGTTTTTGTTGTTCTGTTTTGAGACAGGGTCTTGATGGATAGCTCAGGCTGGCCTTGAACTCTCCTCTTGCCTCAGCCTCTAGACTGCCTTTCACCACACCCTGCTCCTCTGATTGAACTTTCACAAACGACTGTAAGTTTTGGGATATTCAATCACACTGTGAACCCCGAGTTTGCATTTGCATTAATTAAATAAAATCATCCTTGGAGGTTAGGAGGAGGAGCTAGCAACTAGTTGACAGAAAGTAATCAGAGTCAGGGGTGTCTGGAAGATGGACAGAGAAATGCCCAGGAAGTAGTAGGGAGGGACTTTACATGGAATGGTCTTTTTTGGTTTGGTGGAGTGAAAGGTTGCTCCCTTTCTGAGATAGCAGTGAAGAGGGAAGGTCAGTTAGTTGTTCCTCAACCTTTCTGGGCTAGGGGGTTTTCATCCTAGGCTCTGACTCCTGAGTATTATTAATAAATAGAACAATAGAGGTTTAGTTAAAACTACATTTGGTGGCAGCGGCAGGAGGCAGATCCAGCAGAACATGAAAGTGACTTCAGAGACACAGTGACTGCTGAAACAGCAGTAGATTCAGGTTCAACACTGTGCCAATGGAAAACAACCATGCTGTCCTTCATTTCCTCTGTGGAATGTTGAGTTGCTGATCAGTTTTGTTTTAGCTCCAGAAAATCTCTTTTTGGCTGGGTGGTGGTGGTGCAAGCCTTTAATTCCACTACTTCAGAGGCAGGTGGATCTCTGAGTTCAAGGCTAGCCTTGTCTGAGTTCAGGACAGCCAGAGCTTCACAGGGAAACCCTGTCTTGAAAAACAAAAAACAAAACAAAAATTAAAAAAAAAACAACTTTTTATTATTGTTGTTGAACTTGAATTTCTTTAGGATATTCTTTCTTGTATTAGGTATTTATCTTGTCACACCTGGACTTATTTGTCGATTTTTTTTTTTTTTTTTTTTTTTTTTTTTTTTGAGCATGTATTGCTTTAGTCTTCCAGCTGTTGGGAAACCATACTGGTTCCTGTACTCTTCTTATCTTTCCAACCTCTGGGTAATGAGGACTCAGCTTCATTTGCCTATCTACTTTGGCCATTATGCATGACATTCCTGTGGATGTTCAGAGCTGCTACACCCAAAGTCTTGCCAGGCTTCTTTCTTTGCTTTCTAGTCTTCTTGAAGCTAGTTTCCCACATGAGGATGCTCTTATGTTTTCTTACTCTCACTCTATGCTAACAAAGCTCATTCCTTACCTATATGTTTGGCTAGTGATCTGAAGACTCAGAAGCCTTTTTCTTAGGAATAGAACCCATAAAGAAAGAGTGCCATATTTGGATTGCCATGTTCCCAGTATGCACCCCATCCCTTGTCCCTGTTTTGTGTCTGTATTAAATAAATTATTTTTGAGACAGAGTCTCACTATGAAGCCTTGGCTAGCCTGGAACTTGCTCTGAATTCCAGGCTGCTTCAAACTCACAAATTCGCTAGGCTTCTCTACTTGCTATATATAAAACCAGCTGGTGGACTGGGGAGATGGCTCAGTGGTTAAGAGTACTGGCTGTTCTTCCAGAGGACCTGGGTCCAATTCCCAGTCCCCACATGGCAGCTCATAACTGCCTTAACTCCAGTTTCAGGGAGTCCAACACCTTCACACAGACATACATGAAGGCAAAATACAAATGTGAATGAAATAAAAATAAGTAAATTATTTTTAAAAAATCAGATGTTCTAATTATACAAACATTTTAAACACAGTCTTTCATATTTGCAGACTGGAATGATTCAACTGAGGACTTAAAATATTAAAAAAACAAAAACAACCATAGTCCAGAGTTGGTGACTAAAGCTCAGTGTGTATGTTGCTTCCTAAAAGTTCCTGAAAGCAGAACTTGGCAGAAGCCAAACACTGTGCTAAGTTGGCAGGAATCAAGTACTAGTCAGTCCTTCTCTACTTGAGTCTCATGGGCTCCTCATCCTCTCCCTGGCACTCTTTGAGTGTTGTTTGAATTGAGTTTATGGATGGAAAGTTGAGCCTACAATGGTTGCATCTGTATTGAACATACATTATCATTGTTCCTAAGCAATAACATTTTAACAACTCTTGTGTGTTCCCATTGTATCAGGTATTGTACTATAGAGCTGATTTAAAATACACAGCAGGTTATAGGCACTACAAACTCTGTTAAGGGCTTGTGACCATTTGTAGATTTTGGTGTCTGGTGGGGATGGGAGGTTCTGGAAACCCTTGTTTGTGATGTTGAGGGACACTGGTCCATGTTATAGACAGGATAGACCTTAAGGGAAGTTGAATGTCTTTCTAAGACTTTGTCTTGGAGTTCTTTCTCACTTTTCTTTAATCTCTGTTCTGGCAGATTTAAAACTTAAATTTTAAGCCAGTGGTGGTAGTGGATGCCTATAATGCCAGCACTCAGGAGGCTGAGCAGTCCAGATTAAATAAATAAGCTTTAGTCTAACTAGGACAAAACAAACCATTTGTACACTAGCGTTGTTGTTGTTGGTGTTTCATTACCCATTTAGAAGAGGCCTGTGTTAATGCTACTCCGGAAGTTGGTAACCCTCTTCTACCTCTCCTTTTCCTTGCCAGGTGGTGTGGGGATGATGTGCTCCTTGAGTGAACAAGGGAAGCAGCTAGCTATCCAGGTGTCTAATATCCTGGGGATGGATGTCTGTGGCATTGACCTGTTGATGAAAGATGACGGCTCCTTCTGTGTCTGCGAGGCCAATGCAAATGTAGGTTTCATCGCCTTTGATAAGGCTTGTAATCTAGATGTAGCTGGTGTCATAGCAGACTATGCTGCCTCCCTTCTGCCCGCTGGCCGGCTCACCCGGCGCATGTCCCTGCTCTCTGTGGTGTCCACGGCCAGTGAGACTAGTGAGCCGGAGCTCGGTCCCCCTGCCAGCACTGCTGTCGACAACATGAGCGCAAGTTCCAGCTCTGTCGATAGCGACCCTGAAAGTACCACCGAGCGAGAGCTGCTCACCAAGCTCCCAGGGGGGCTGTTCAACATGAACCAGCTGCTAGCCAATGAAATCAAACTCCTGGTGGAGTGACTCCACCGGTAAATAATTAACCAACAAAACCCTTGTAAAACTGTCTCCCCTCCCCCACCCCTCCCCCCTTAACCAACTTGCAATGCTGTTCATGGAGAATGCTCAGGAGGTTGAGAGAAAGGTATAGTAAGATTGGTTAGAAGAAGGGAAAATAGATGAGACCTCGGATAGTAACACTTACCTGGTTCATTCACAGAGTCTACAGAAAGGAAAAATAGGTGATACACAGAGAAATGGCAGGCTCTCTTGCTAACCTTTTCAGTGACTAAAACCCTGCTCTTAGGCCATGAGGAACCTGAAAGTTTCTTTTTCCATGGTCTCTTGCTTTTGTTTTTATGTAGAATGGTTTTGATTCAAGTACTTGGTAGCATGACTTCACACAGTTTCAAGATTTGTAAAGAGGAAACATCTGCTTAAAAATAGAAATGTTTTAGTAGCAATCTGAAAATTCTGCCGTTTCTCTCAGCTAGCATTTAAATGCACATAATTGTTTATGAACTCTTAAGGGGCTCTGACCGGGACTTCTTATTTTCATGTTCATCCTTGTTTTTTTCCCCCTTAATTTGGGTGGGAGGGTAATGTGACTCTAATCCAATAAAGATTTTTAATAACAAAATTGGCATGTTTGCATGATGAAAGGGAAATGAACAGTATTGCAATGTCTGGTATACAAAGTAACATTTACTCAATGTAGATAAAGTTGCACTAGTTAAAGTTTGTGCATTGACTTGTATTTGTTAGTGTTTTAGTCTTTTTTGAAGGATATATGCTCTGTTAATGTTGCATTTTTAATACAAGCTGGTAACATCCCTTGCTCTATGACTTCATCTTTAACAATGGCCAAAGTAAACAAAATGCTACTTTTTTGGTTAACAAGACACTGACTCAACATACACATTTAAAAGTCTTCTTGCCCCCCTTTTCTCTTGATGAGTTGAACATTTAAAGGATAAGTACAGGGACATCATTTTGGGGAGGCAAGTAAAGGTCATTAGGTATAAAGCTGAAATGATTTCTTAATGCTATTTTTTGTATTTGCATTTTTCACATTTTAGGAGGGTTTATATATATGTTGCATGCAAGTGTATGTGTTTTATTTTTTGTTTACACCAAACAAAGAATAGATTCTAGAGAATGGCATGATGGGAAGCAGTTTTTTCCTTAAAACGAAAGAAAACAATTGAATTGCTTTAGACTCCAATAGTGTAGAGATACTCCCCTAAGGACAATAGGAAAGTAGATGTTTCTTAGGCATTTTGTGTGTGTGTGTGTGTGTGTGTGTGTGTGTGTGTGTGTTTTATTTGTTTTTATTTGTAGACTGTTTGGCATATGACTTAAGGCTACATGCTTTTATTTAATGTTATGACTGTGCATTTTCTCTTTATACACTTAAGATTTAGAGGGAGGTGGACTGGATGTTTTAATGCGATTTATTTAACATAATTGAGTCTCATATAGCCCTATCCTTAAGCCTTCAGTACTGACCACTCTATATTCCTTTTTTGAATTGACGAAAGCCCCCAGTCTGCATATAGTATGAGCCTTTAAGACAAGGATAAAGCTATTCCAGTGATTGAGTCTGGAAGATGTGTTAAGATGGCGATGCTACAGGGTTCAACATACTTTTTAAACAGCAAGCTCCATCTCCCTGCAAATTCTCTGCAGCTTCCCCGAGCTTTTCTTACCTCTCCAGTGCTGCTTTCCTTCACATGGACTGTAACATAATTTCTTGGACACTACTTAGAGACTTGAAGGTGATAATGAAACATCAGTATTATCCAGCTCCAACAGAGGTTTGATCATGATTAACTGTACAGTTTTCCCCATTTGAAAAAGGAATGTAATAAAACTTGGTTTCCCTCATAGAATTAAATAATATTAAAATGGAGTGAAAGGTTGATTGTTGACAAATAGAATAGTACCTATAATCTGTGAACTCGCTCATTTCATCTCAGAAAAAAGATACATAAAGAGTTCTAATTTATCTTTAGGATACTCTAATTGCATCTGCACGATTTGATTTGCACAGGGTCCTTGGGAGTCATAAGTACCTCTGATTCACTAACAGAATAAAAGTACTTGGTACTTTGCTGAATGATCATATTTTGGAGGGTGCATACTATTTGGTATAGAGAAATAAATGAACAATCGTGTAATCAGATCCTAAAATCAGATCTGGTTGCCACATACATTATGATACACATGTAACACCATGCATTTAAAAACAAATAGAACATCTTCATTTGAAAAGTTCATCTTGTTATGGTGGGATAAAGAAAGAGGAAAATTAGAGTTATCCATTCTCAACCAAGCACTCTGCTCTGTAAGGAGTTTTCACTGGCAGTTCCACTCCCGGTTCATGCAGCCACTGTGCATCAGCCAGTGTGAACTGTAGCCCTTCACCAGCCACCTTCTGGATATCATACTCACACAGTAGATGAAATTAACAGGGTTGCTCATCTTGAATTCTCTCAATTAAGGTAAGAATAAGAGCATTAAGGTAAGAAGGAGAACTCAAAGGAAATGAGTGATAGTTGACTTATCCTCCTAATTGTTTTCACAACTTTTGTATAATCTTCACCTGTGAGAAAAAATGTATTTATCAAATCTGTGTAATCATGCCAAAATCTGAATTACTGTAAATTTTTTGTATGCTGTTAAAATTGTAATTGTTAATTGTATTTTAATAATTCTCATGTTTTTATGTTACCTGCAATGAAAATTGGACTCTATAGATGATCTATCTATACATATGAACTATGTCACTTAAAATTTCTAATAAGTATTTTTTCTTTTGATACTTATAATTGGTCATTTCTGCTGGCTTTTCTCCAATGAACTTTGAAATCTTTCTTTATGCTGTCAATAAGAAACTGGAACGTTAGAAAAAAATCCAACAAGAGACTTGCTTTCATCAAGCACTCCTCAGACTTTAAGAAAAAGCACTGACGGCAATGGAGACGGCCACTGACTGTCAATCATCACCTTTTTCTCAAGAAGGAAAACATGGAAAAGCAAGCCTCTTTTCAGTGAACCCCTAGCTTGGGGTTGGGGGTGTTAGAGACATTGTGAAATGAAACCTTGTGTTATATTTTTCTCCTGGTTCGCTGTTTTGAGAAGGTTTGTGGGCTATTTGGCTGGTGAGACACGCTCCCTTCCTAAGAAAATGTAGGTGCTCAGACAGGTAACCTCTGCCGCTGTTTGTTTGTCTGTTTGTTCGCTTTATTCACATTGGCTTCTGTTGTGCTAGGATGTAATACATCGTAGGATTTATAACCAGGGTCACTGCTTTCTTTTGTTTCTTAAAAAGAAAAAAGTTTCACATAAAATACAGTCTAGGTCCCTTGGATTTGGAATGTTTAGTGATGGACAGAAGTCTGCTGTTGGAATCATCTAGTATTCCAGATTAGATTGGAAATGTTTTCATTTTGTTTTGGTTTGGGGGTTTGTGTAGTATTTTATTTCCTTTATCCCAATGCACTTTGCCATGCCTCCTGGGATGGCTGCCTAACTCTGGTGACTTTTTTTTCCATGTTAACAAAAAGTTTGGTTTTTAAAAATTCCTTAATGTTTTACATTTTAAAAATTGTTTTTGAAGAAATATTCTAATTGCTTGCACTGTTACTGTTCTTTGCCAGCCTTTTCAGGAGCCAAAATATACAAATACAAACAAACAAAAAATACTCAGAGAAAACACTTTCCTTCTTCCCCCCTCCTGATGATGAGTGAGAAGTTTTGAGAGCTTTGGGGTCAGTGCCCTTCTAAACTTCCCCTCCCCCAATAATGCAGCTGTGCAGTGGGTGCTAAGTGCAGCGGCTCGGACCAGGCACAGCCCAGCCTGCTGGCAGGTAATTGGACTCTCCTTTATTTCCTTCAGAAGGCTAACGTTCTACTGTTCTAAGTTTTCTTTCTGTAACACTTTAAAGGCAAACATGAGTTTATCATAACTTGATTTTTACAAATAATGTATAACTATGGTAGAAATAATTTAAAGAAGAGTTTGTGGGATAAAGTTTGAATCGATTGGGATGAACTCAGCATTTGGGATTTCATTTAGCTGTTTAGATAGTCCATTCCTTGCATATATGTCTATAATAAGTTTTCAGAGTGTGACTTCGGCTTTGTTTTGTTGTGGGTTTGTTTGTCTCTTCCATTGTGCTACTCTGGCTTAAGCTTTTTCAGGGGTTGGTGTTCGGAATACACAGTGAGCTCACACTTTAAAGACATCAATTAGGAGTTGACAGGTATGGAAAACTAGAGTTGTGTAAAGTAAACTAGGTTCTAGGTTATATATATGGTTTAAGTACACTGCATCCAGTTGGCCTTAGTGACGTGCACGGGGCTTGTGAAACCAATAGAGCTTTTTAGTCACCTTAGAAGTGATCACTAGCCTTTCTGATCCAGTAGTCCTAACAGATGTATGTGAATAGCCGAAGACTCTCAAATTCTAAAGAGTATACATTGTATAGATTGGAACATACAGGGTAGCATTTCTGAAGCACAGCATGGTTAACCAGATTAGCCAGGGTCATAAAACAAAGTTAGTGGCAGAATGGAAATAGTTTGTACAGTTTGGTAGTCTTCTGTTAGATACCACTTTCCTTTATGTCCATCCCAGTTTGCTTACTGTTTCCTCCTTCCCTGTCCTTTCTAAGGTTTTCACTCTGAAAGCTAGCTTTATATTTTACATTAGAGCAGTAATCTCTCTTTAATAAAGGGTTTCAGAGACAGTAGCCAGCACCTTCCCTTTATTTTTTGCATAGTTTTATCTGGTAGTTTGTAATGTCCTACACTAAGAATTCAGCAGACCTGGTTAGTGAATAAGAAACCCTGGCCTCAACTAGAGGCATGTAATAAATGATTAGCCTATTCTGTGCTTCAGTTGACACATGGGGTAGGGACATCCTCTGGCATCTTAAGATGATTATCTGTTGAACTGAACTGAAATTGACTTGTCCAGGAATTCCACCTGCACTCCTACAGGGATGTGTGAGGTGTTCTGAGAAGGACTCCTTCAGGAGACTTGTTCTCTGGCCTACGAGAATGGCTACCAGTAGAATGTTTGCATTGCACAGGCTGTAGAGAGTTTTAACAACCCCTATTCTGATGCCCCATTAATACTGCCGACTTGTAAGGAATCTTGATTTTATTGTATTCAAACTTACTAGGTGGACCTCATATAGTATATTTACCTGGCTGCTATTTGGGATTTGGGGAACATGAGGGGTGGGGTGAACTGTTGTTGTTTTAGGTTTCAGTCAGACAGACATCCCTGTGCCTCAGTTCCCAGAAGCACAGCAGGCCTCTAGGAGCATCCGTGGGAACGGCGCAGTCCTGACATCTCCAACTTCTCCTGCTCAGGCTCATCCCATATGCAGAGGTCAAAAGGGTGGGGTTTGAGATGGGGGAAGGAATGAGAAAGTGGAAGCGATGTCATTGCAGTGCTGCTGTCGACCAGCTCTTTGGTGCTGATGTCAGTGTTTGTTATTGTTTTAAATTGCCAAGTCTGTACATCTATTGGGGAGAAGGTAATGGGAGGGTGGAAAAAGGAAGCTGTTATTATTGCTAGTCTCTTCTTGGATGTAGTTCCTTAGTGTCGAATAGAAAATTTCAAATGTAGGCTCCAGTGACAAAGAATGGGAATAGAAGTGAATCTTAGATTTTTAAAAAGCATTAGACATCATGCTGTGTTAATTCCCAATTCTCTTAGAACTATTATTTTTGTCATTCCTTCCCTTCCCCCTAATTTTTTTATGTATGTATTAGTTTAAGGAAATGTACATTCATGCTCAGCCCTTTCTAAGGGACTTAATGAATATTAACTCTTTTGCAAAACAAAATACCCATTGCTTATATGGGCATACAAATGCTACCCTATTTTAAATGTAGGTGGCGTATGTGTTCGTGTTTTATTGTATTCAGAGCCATTGAGCAATAAGCAGTCCAGAACATTGAAATCTCAAGCAGGTAAAGCACCTAACACCCTTAGTTTCTAGAATTACTTTAAAGGCTTTGTATTGATGTGTCTTCCATGGTTCTTTGGGTAGTCTCTGAGTTTGGAATTTGTAGGAGTTGTAGATTACCTAGTTAAATCATGTACTTATTTATAGCTCATAGGGATACATAGGGAAGGAAAACAATGAAACAGAACATGGCTCTTTGAGATAACGACCACTGAGTGTATAATCATTCCTCTTCCTTTCTTTCTGTTTTTAATTTTCCTAGCTTAGCATGAACATTGATCATATGTTATTTGGTTTTCTATGATTGGGGTTTTTTCTCCTGATTATTGAGGTGGGATGGGTAATATTTGAAAATGTTGATTCACGTGTTAAAATATGAATTGTTAAAGCATTTGTTTAATTTGAACAATAAGCAAGGCCTTTTTCTATATGCCCTTCTGCTGCAGCAGAGAGATAAACGGGTAGGTGGCAGCAGAGAAAGGAACTCTTGAGAGTGGCTGTTGACGTTAAACCTGCATAGGAGAAGAAAGAGCATGTGACGTACTGAGTGGAGCAAGGAAGGGCAGAGATGAAAGCTGCATTTAGGATGGCTGCCTCCTTACTCTGAAAGGTAAGTTATTTCCAACCTGGAATGTGCTTTTGGTGTGATACCAGTGTTGTGGAAGGTGCATTGTTGTGGCCTGTTGTGGTGTGTAAACATGGGTATCCGTCATTCTTTACTTTAGGTTAAATCTGTTCCTACTGGTGCATTATCAGTCCCTGTTTTGAAAAATTTATACTAACACTATGCAAAATCCCCAATACATTGAAACATTGACCTTTAATGATGGCAAAAATTATGTAGAATATAAATTCTCTTTTAAAAACTCTTTTATGGAGTTAAGACCTCCCCCTTTAGTAGGAATGCTGGAAGGGTAGATAAAGAATGTAATAATTAAGCAGGGTGGTGGTAATATAGGCCTTCAGTTCCAGCACTTGGGAGGCAGAGGCAGGGGTATCTCTCTCTCTCTCTCTCCAGACCTGTCAGTTCTTCTCTCCTGCTCACGTTTCTGAGTCTTTTCCTCTTTTTTATTTCTCATTTCAGTGTTTGTGTGTGTCTCTCTCCTCCCCATTCCTTTTTCCCCCTCTTATTCTCCCTGTTGCCTCAAGATTTTTTTTTTTTTTTTATCCAATGTTGCCCTGCTGATTTTTTATTTTGTGACAGGCTCTCTCTACATAGCCCTGGTTGTCCTGGAATTCACTATGTAGACCGGGCTGGCCTTAAGCTCAGAGATCAACCTGCCTCTGCCTCCAGAATGCTGGGATTAAAAGCATGTAATCTTTTGTTTGGGGGTGGTTTGTTTTCTTGCTTTGAGATACAGGGTATGTAGACCTAGCTGACTCACCCCTATGGATCAGGTTGATGTCATTCACAGAAGAGCCCAACTGGCTTCCTCTGCCATCACGTCTATGTCTGTCTTTCCTTTTTTTTTTTTTTTTTTTTAAATTAAGGTTTAAGGAATTGACACTGTGGCACTGCATTTCTGTAATCCTAGAACTTGGGAAACAAGCAGAAGGAACAGGGATTTAGGGTCATCCTTGGCTGCATTGTGAGTTGAGACCAGCATTAGCTATGAGAGAAAAGAAGGAAGAGAAAAAGGGAAGGGGATGGAGAAGAAGGGAAAGATTAGACAAGAATTTGGCTAGGCTAAGTAGAAGAAAGTAAATGGGATTTTGAAGTCTACAAGAATTAAAGAGTAAAAAAATCAAATCTTTTTTTTCTTAAATCTTTTTTTTTTTTTAATTTTTTTTTTAAATCAAATCTTTTTTTTTTTAAGCTGAGGACTGAACCTAGGGCCTTGCTAGGCAAGCGCTCTACCACTGAGCTAAATCCCCAACCCTCAAATCTTAATAAGCAGACCTGTTTACGTAAACATTTAAATGGACTATCTTTATTTCTGGCGACAGTGATTTTAACAGAAATGAAAGGACAATGCGTCATTATTCACGTGCACACAGGCCTCATTGCTGACCCAGTGCTCCACCACTGAGGTAAAGCCCAGCCTTTTTAGACTTCGGCTTCAACCTGCCTTTGTTTTGGTAGGGGCAGGGGTGTTGAGAAAGGGTCTCTGTGCAGCTCTGCCTCATGAGCCACATAACCCCCCCCCCCTTACCTCCTGATTTTTAAATCTAAAGGAGCTCTGCTCATTGTGAAACCTATGTATTAGAGATGAAGGTTTAGCTTT